CTTAGTTAAGTCTGTTTTCACGCATGTCGTGTGGGCACATCAGAGTCCATGTGATGACACGAGCTCAACCAGATATTTATGTACACTTGTTGCGTCTCCATTAGTTGCTAGGATATTATCCTTATATGAGATATGTGCAAGTGGTACATGTGCACTTGTCATTAGCCCATATGTGTACTGGAAACACTCGTTTTGCTTTGTTTATGGTCCTATGAAAGTTTGGTGAAAACTTACCCAAAATAGCTAAACTCATAAGCAACTTGTTGGTTGGTTGGTTGTCCCCTTACACTTGTGAGCAAGTTTTCTAAATATCCGTCTTCTCCAATGCATTTCTTTTAAGCCTGAATATACCTCTGATTATCCTTTGCATATTCTTTAAGGTTTAATTTGTTTTCATTCGAGTTTCATTATGCTTAGGTAGGCTTGAAATACTTCTTTAACTCTTGCTTGTGGAATTTGGTTCCGTTGTTGCTTGCTTGAAGTGGTTCAAGCGGCTGGAGCTGACGTGCGACTTCGGTGATGAACCTTGAGAGGAGCTCAAGGCTGACCAGGTGGTCTCAAGTGTGAAGCTTGCTGTGATGGCTAGATGTTCAACAAAAGAGTGAAGATTGAAGTGTTGTCATAAGCAGGGAGTGTTTTGTAACTTGTGTTTATCTTTAGCTTTGTATTTGAACACAAAAGTGTTGTCATAAGCAAGGAGTGTCTTGCAACTTGTGTTTATCTTTAGCTTTGTATTTGAACACAAGAGTTTTTCATAGTGGATTGGCTTCTTCTAGACTTGATCCCATAGATGTAGGTAAGTTGTCGAACCACGTAAAAATGTGTTGTCTTCTTTATTTGTTACCATGGATGTTTTGCTTATGTTGATGATGATTAAACCAACACATAAAGCACAAATGCACAAGCTAACCCATTTTGCTTAAGTTTTAACAACTTGGTAAAGATTTAAAACTTTCATAACTATTAAAAATATAACAATGAATTGGTCGATTTTCTGGGGTTGCTACAGAGTTGGTGGAATAAAACGTTTAGAATTTGTGTCAAGTGCATATTGCTATAGCGAAATAGGATTCATTATAGCGAATAAAGTTTGCTACATGTTCATTGTAGAAAAGGATTTTCGCTATCAAATTCTAGAAGTTAAATTGTTATAACAAATTCTAGTTTGTCGTAATGATTTTAAGTTTACCATAGTGAGTCCAAGTTCATTCTGCCAAACGTTACTTTGTAAAGTGTCGTTTGTACCTAAATTTTATTATTTCAATCCAAATTGAAGTCATATTATGATAGGGTTTGGGATAGGATCTATTTATATGAGGAATAGAGACCTCCAAAGAACAAGAGACAAAGAGAATAATTGACAAAATTCTTCATTGATAACCACAATCTAGATTTAGGCTATTATATAGCCTAACACTTGACTTCAAATGACTCCCAAAAGGACTCTAATTCCTATTCTAATTACTTAATAGAGTATTTGTAATTCCTATTTTAAAGGATATCATAATTGTAAGATATTCTAAATGCCTAACCAGTACTTATCGCATCCTTTTTGGATTTCTCGATCCTCAATCATCCCATAATCGGGTTCCTAACATTGCCTTCCCCTTCAGATCAACCTTTTCCTCAAGGTTGTAGAGTACTACAGCATAAACCATCACTGTTGTTGAAGCCAAGACCTCTAATCGTGAACAACAATAAGAAATCAGTTGGCGCAAGTGAGGGCCAAGGCAATAAAGAGACATCCAAAGTTCCACCGCTAGGGTAAAAAATTAACACATTAAAGAGAGACTCCCTTTGCACACCAGGTAAATACAAGAGAAGATGATGAACCGAATTGAGTTCCTATCAAGGATAAGCTTTCCTAGTGACGACTTCAGAGATTGTGCCAAGGATGCTGTGATAGGCGACTCAAAGTGGAGAGTCAGGTAGCACTGCCAAAGAGAGAGCGGGGCGCATGGAGGCTCGGTAAGGCAGGTTTTTGGTGGTGGAGGATTGTTTTTATTAGGACCAAGAGGAACCAAGGGAAGGTCAAAGACAGGCTGGTGGTCAGTGACAACCGCAACATAATCGAAAGAATGGCTGATCGAGCCCACTTGAGAAATGACTTTCGGTTCTAGGGAAAAGACTGTTGATTGTGGTTGCCGTATGACTTTATCCAATTGGGATTCCAACACTAGGAGTTGCTGGGTAATTTCATTGAGAAGACCATCCATTGAGTCAAGTTTTGCACCTTGAAAAGACTGAATAGCTGTCAACTTAGTTACCTAGTCTTCTAGATCTTCCAGAGTGCAAAGTCGAGGTCTATTTGTATGCACGCATTTCACCAACTGCCCTTGATAATCCACAATTTCTAAGGGTCCAAAATGAAACTCCAAGGCTTGCAAAAAGGAATTCCAAGAACGAATTTGTCTATTGGAAGACATCCAACGATATCAAAAAAGAGTTGGTCTATCCATGTGAAATGAAGAACAGATCAATCATTGTTTAGATGGTGTGTCAAGGTTATTGAAAAATTATTCAACCTTAAATGTCCATCTCGCCAGATCTAAACCATCAAATCATGGCAAAGTGATCGAAATGGGTTGAAAGATGTTGCTACTGTGTTAAATTTAGTCACTTGATCGTCCAAAGTACATATTTCATCTGCCATGGAAAAAGAATGAGAGTACCAATGATAGGGTTTGGGAAAAGTTCTGTTTATATAAGGAACATAGACCTCCAAGAACAAGAGACAGAGAGATTAATTGACAAAATTCTTTATTGACAACCACAATCTAAATTTAGGCTATTATATAGCCTTACACTTGACTTCAAGTGACTCCAAAAAAGACTCTAATTCCTATTCTAATTGCATAATAGAGTAATTGTAATTCCTATTTTAAAACATATCATAATTGTAAGATATCCTAAATGCCTAATAAGAACTTATCGTATCCTTTTTGGGTATCTCCTCAATCATCCCATAATCGGGTTCCTAACATATTCTCAAGGAAAATAGTGGAACTTCTGATACACTATATAAATGTAATTTTCATCCCTAAAAGTAAGTAACAATAGAGTGATTAGTGTATGGCAAGTGAACGAGAATTGCAGCACAATAAACTCATTTTCAAGAGAGAGCCAATAGAAGTAAAAACTCTAGGATAGCCTCCATTGATTGACAATGAGAGAGCCTTTGTAATCAAGAGTTGAGTGATTTTTAAGATTGTTCTCTTTTTCATTCATAGTGAAACATTCTTCATACCTTCTCCGTGGACGTTACCCAAGGTGAATCACATATATTTTGTATTCGATTAAATCCCACTTAAATTTTCTCTTATTTGTCAAGACAGTTGATTTGGTCCTTTAGTGTTTTTCCATTGCGTTTATTTTAAGTTAAAGTTGGTATTTGACTATATCAATTTTATAACATCATTCAAGTGGAAAATTGAATATACAACGTGTTAATAATATATCATTGAATTGTTGAGTATTTTACTTGGGGGTGGGTGATCAACCTTTGCAGCATGTTCAGCCAGTGGTGGACGCAAACCCAAAATTTATTAAAAAAAAAAAAAAAAAAAAATATTGAGATTCTAATATAATTATATATTTTTGTTTCCTGTGAAATACCTATTTCAGCCCTTCCTGATTTTGTTTGAAATTTATAGACATAAACATTTTGGGCATTTATCTTTGGATGGCATTTTTCATGCTTTAAATAAAATTTTCTCATTATTAGAAAGGGACAAATTGTTTAATCAATTGGAAATTAAGAATTCGTTTCTCCATTCTTGTACTTTTGTCATTATAGCTTTCACTTATATAACATTTAATTAATAATTTATTAATTTATATGATTAAATAATATATCAGTTAATTAATAAATTTTAGTGATCACAAGCATATTAATTTATCGAGATTTAACTGTATACAATAGTGGTAGGTTAGTTTAACAGTTATTTACTTATAGTTTTTGAATTCTAAATTTATAAAATCATAGAAAATTGAAAAAAACAAAAACTAGTAAAATAGAACTAAAAAAGGGTTGAATTATAAAACTTAAAATTTTTAAAATCAAATAAAATTTAAAAAAAAAGGAAAATAAAAATAGAGAAACTCATTTAGATCTAAATTTTAAAAAATATATATATAGAAATTAGAAAATAGAAATTTATTCAATTTCTCAATCCTATACTTCAAACCCAAAGGTGTTGTAATAATTTTTTTTAAACTCTCTTTTACCATTATTGTCATACTAGGGTGTTTTTATTTTTACTTCGCATGTATTGTTGTATTCATGTTTTTCTTATTTGAATTGTGTTTCATTCTTTTTAAGGTTCAAAATTTTGTCATAAAATATGTATATCAATGTAAAAGTTTAATAAAAAACTGTTTGAGAAAAGAAATTATATTGTTTCACGATCCATTTTTAGAGAATGTATTAAAAATGTGAAAATCAAGAGAGGGGCAATTGCCCCTCTCCCCTCTCTTGTCCTTGCTTGCATCATACCTCCGTCTACAAGGATCGGCCGCATAAGGTTGAAATCTTCGTCATGCCACTGGGCTCAACCCTTGAACTAAAACCCAAGCCTTTTACCCTAATTAACAAAATTACAATTTAGTTTACCTAATGCCAAGAATTGAGCTCCTAGTAAGGACGTTTTTAAATAATTTTTAAGGAAATGTTTCAGTCCAATGATGATGAATCTAATTATGTTTTAACATGGTCCTCAAAATGTAATATATATTGAAATTTACGATATGAAAATTCTTCCTTCTCAACTACATACGCTCTTTGTTGAAGTGAAAGAGATTGAAGATTAGCTCAGCTTCCGTGTAGCCAAGGTGTAAGCTGCTATAAAAGCAAAAATTGTTGTAGATGTTGTTAAGTTAATTCTACAATACACTTCAATTCAGCTCAATTTTCTTTTTCTTTCATTGCTTCACTCTTAAACATTATTAATTCAATAATTTTATTGAATAAGATAAACATATATTTGTAATTTTAACTGTAAGCACCTTTATTAACGTAATGAACCACACACGACATAGTACATTAAAACCGCTCAATAGACAAATAATAACAGACTTGGGAAACAAAGATAACACCAATGAACTAGTCCCAAATAAAACCGACAACACAATATAATAAACAAAGCTTTAGTTAAACACAAAAGGAAATCAGAACCAAGATGAATTTCACTCACTAATTAAAGTTTACTCCTTGTCTTCCCCAACTGTGATTTTACGGATTTATTTGTAAGTCCTTCGAGATACTCCTTCAAATTATGCGACTCAGGTATTATGTCATGAAGTTGAAGCCCATCCATTAAATTGAATAAGGCTGACTTGTGACTCTTAATTCTTAACTTCATTCCCACTTTTTTGTATGAAATTTCGAAAGGAGGAAGATCAGTAACAATGTCTAATCTGTTTTCAATGCGCAAGAGATGAAGATTGCTGAGTCCATTGAATATATTCCTGAATCCTTCGTTTCCGACCTTCGGGCTTGCAAACACAAAGGCTGTGACCATGCATGTTTTGTTCGATCTTGTGCGCTTATTAAAGTTATTGGCAACTATGTCAGTGGCGTTCAACGTTGCAAGCGCTGCACCCAGACTATGACCTGCCACTGTTATACTGATTTCCTCGTTTACGTACGCAGGCTTATTCACCAGTATCTTAACTGTATTCAGCACCTACATAAATATAGCCATAATAGAAACATATATCAAGAAAATAGAAAATATAGAAACCGGTAATCATTTTTTTATTTTTTGGTTGTGTTTTTACCTGGTCTCTGGCACTCAATTTATTGGATGAGGGTTCGCTATTTGGCGACGTGTAGATTGAGAGAAATCCTCTGTGCACTTGTGGATCATGGGTGTTCCCAAAAATGTTTGAAGCTGATGTTTGATCGAATTGAAAATTTTTGAACCACTCAGCCAGAGAATTAGTTCCCCTCCAACAAATCAAAATGTCTCTCCTTCCTAAAACTCTTTTTCCTTCATCTGTAGCCACAGCCACATAACCAAACCAAGCAGATTGGTCCTCAACAATCTCATCGACCAAGGAAGGAACATCTGACATTGCATAAAAATAGTCTGTCACCGTGTATAATTTGCCCAACTTGTCTGTTTCCATGAAAACTTTAGAAAATAAATCTTCCTTTTGGTAAGCAGGAAGTCTTTCATCTTCATGGTTAACCGAGTCATAAACAGCTTGAACTCCTTCACCATAGAGTTTTATATAGCTTGAGAGATCACCGTTGAGAGGTTTCAAAAGACCCTCCCAATTCTTCTCACCACTAAGCTCCTTCCAGTTAGCCATCAATCTTCTTTTCGTTTTGCTTTTTGTTGCTCTACTATTTGTGAGGATACACTTATACTGCATGCTATTTATAGAAAAACGCAGCGCGCAAATTTGTTTTTCTTTATTTTATTTGTTTTAGGGAATTCGTGTTTGATTAATGAATTGTTCTGAAATTAATTACTACATAATAAAAATCAATGAAGAAAAATTCAAAGAAAAAAAAAGTCATTAAACTTGAAATAGGGCTGGCTGATGAAGGTGTGGGAAAGAGTATTCTAACTCTTCGCCACCCACATTGGATGAATTGATAAATTATATTTATTTTATTTTATTTTACTTGTAATTGAAGATTATTGGAAACTTGTAAGTAACAAAACTTGTACATCAAGAAACGGTGAAAACAAACCTTATGCTTGTACAATCAATGACATAAGATTTGGAAGAATAGACTTGTTAAAATCAAATGTAATGAACTTGTAAGGAGCAGTCAAACAAATAGAAAACATGAGTTAAAAAACAAAACTTGTAATGAAGAATCTAAGGCTTGATATAAACAATTCAATTACATATGACTTGTAACAGTAAATCTAATAGACTTAGTAATATCAAACAATAGGACATTTGGTAAGAACAACTATATTAGACTTATAGTCATTAACATGTGACTTTGAATTTATAATTTAGAGGAGATATATTATGGACCAAATCGAAGTAATTTCTTCTTTCTTTCATTCATACGTGGAAACTTCCCTCTAAGGAATTTTTTTTTTTTTTTTTTTTTGGGTTAAAATTAATATAATCGAGAACATGCTTTATCATCATTGGATTTATTATATTAGACCGACATGATTTTTCCAAGACTAATAGTATATATTCATAATCCTAACAAATTAATATTAGGACATCTTGATTAGAGAATTATTATTATTATAATTATTATTATACATACAGTAAAACATCTCTCTAGTCATAATGATGGGACTAATTAATTTTATTACTATAAGAAGGTTGTAACTTAATAGAGGTATAGTTGCAAAATTTTCTTATTTCATAATTCATGTTTTAGTGGTACAATATTAGGGTTTTAATTCATGTTTTAACAGTATAAGGTTTTAATTTAGCGCTTTAATTGTCTGCTTTTGAAACAGATAGAAGATCGTATCTTAGAACCAACAAAAATAAGAGTCCTTGATGGAATTGTATTTGTAATTATTGTATGGTCCATTGATGTGAAGCCACAGATAATTACCAATTATTTTAAGCATTGCAAAATTAAGACCCCCGATATCGGTGAATTGTAAGTTACAAATAAAGTGGATGAGGAGAATCAAAGAATCATTGTAGAATTGAGTGATCAGAATTCGGCAACTTCAATATATTAATTGAATGGATATTAATGTCTTCCTCAATCATTCAAATGAGTAACAAGTCATGTATATTTTAACTGAAGAAGAAATTATTGCTACAATCAGACAAGAAGAGAAATGAAATAATAATAAGGATAATAGTACAGAAATATAAAAAGTTTCATGCCAAGAAACTCTAAACATGCTTGAGAAGTTAAAAATGTTTTGCCTTCAATAAGAAAATGTCAATGCTAGTGAGTAATGTGCCTACAAGTTAAAAGATGTGGTAACAACTCTAAAGAATAAATCATTGTCCTAAACAATTTTAGATAAATATTTTTATTTCATTTTAGACCTTTAATGTAAGATAACATATTTTTTTTTGCAATATACAGATAATTATTATTATGTGGAGGCAACTTTCCTTAAGACGGGAATTAAAAAAATTATAACTTATTACAATGTAGAGTTTATTCTTATTTATAACTATCTCAAATTGAGAATATAATTTTTTATGACTATGTAGAGTTTATTTATGTATAGAGTATCCGTAGAGAGGTTTTACTATATATATATATATATAATAGATATATATATAATATATATATATATATATATATATATATATATATATATATTTCTTTATGTTGTTAATTTGATTTTATTGTATTATTTATGAATCATTTTGCTACAAAAGTTGAAACTTTATTTTCTTCAAATTTTCAACTATATTAAATGGCAAGACTTGATCACATCTATCAAATTACTTTTCTAACGAGTAAAACGGATTAGAAAAATATGGACCTTTCAAATTATTTGCTGATTCAATTTCCTTATTCAATTCATCTTTGATAAATTCCTATATGCGTCAACCTTGGACTCTTTCCTGAGTTTTACAAATAAAAATAACAATAAAGAATTCACTTTTAGTTTGAGTCTTAGAATAGAGAAAAATATTATAAAGCACAAATTAACCAAATTTATATATTTATATGTTATTTTATGTGTATAAAAATTTACATTTACATGTAGAATTAGATTGGAAATTAATTCTTTCGATTAGTTGCCCAGAAACTGATTAAAGAATCAGAAAATTATTATGTTGCCTAGTGAAGTCAACTGGGACAAAGAAGAAGTCTTATTATTCATGAAGAAACAATATCAAAAAAGAAAGGCATCGAAATTCGCGTTGGCGGCGTCAAAGTCCAACCCCGGAGAGATCGTCGAAAACTTGTTGGCCTAGTAGCCTTGAAAAACAAGTACAAATATTCTAGATGATAATGATCCTTTAATTAATATTTACAAGAGTTATCACCTTATCCTTTAAAATTGATTTCTTCAATAACTTGAAACAGATGTCTTTGTCAAATATACTAGTAATTCTTAAAACTGATTTCTTAGTCAGAATGTTATATTGTCGGGGTTTTCTGTACGAATGTATAATTTAAAACCTGGTCTTTGTTTATCGATATATGTCTGGTTGTTTATTGATACCGAACTGCATGATCTCTGGGAAACGAGTAACAATTGACTTTGGTCATGTAAGTAGTTATGAGAAAGCTTAAACCCAAATCCCGTGGGAGTGAATGTAATTTTCACCAAAATTTTCCACCCAAGATTTGCCATTACTACATTTTCCACCCATAAACATTGAGAAAAACAATTTCCCGTCCATCGTAATCGCCGTCAATGGAATATGTTACTTAACAAGGGGTAAAGCTATGAAATCTATAATACCCTTTACTATTTGACTTTATAATTTTTAATGAGGTTGAATAACTTTTCCCACCCAAACTTCATTAAATGTATTTTTCACCCCTAGTTTGGTTTATATTGATTTTTAATTCTTGGAATAATAAATTTAAAAATAAATTCAGTTACTGTAATAAAAATATTCAGAAAATAAAAAATTAAAATAAAAAAATAAAAAACACAAAAAAAAAAGTTAGCTAGAACTGCATCTAGTTGGGTGAGATTTTGATTGATTTGCACTCGATTGGGTGCGACTGCGACTGATTCACACTATATGGGTGCGATCCCAATCGAATCGCATCTAGCTGGGTGCGAATCAATCGAAATCGCACCCAATCGGGTGCAAATCTTGCTGAATCACACCTGGCCAGGTGGAAATTAGTTGGAATTGCACCCAACAAGGTGTGAATCGACCTGAATCACACCTAGCTATTTTGGCCAACTTTTTTTTGTTTCAGTTTTTTTAATTTTCTTAATTTTTAATTTTTGGATTTTTCTCCTTTTTTATAATTTTTCAGTTTTTTTGGAAATTATATTTTATATAATTTCATAAAATATATACAATTTTAATGACATATTGTTTTGTAGTTTTATAAATATTTAATTGACATATACTATTAAAATTTTTAAAAATAATATATACAATTTTAATTTTTTTTTAGTAAGACACATACTTTAAAAGTGAAACCTCCATTGTGATTATAGAAATTAAGGATAGGGATTTAAATGGGTAATTTCCGAGTTCCTGTAGGTCATTTTATGTGTTTGTAATTTAAGTGTGTAAGTAAAATTAACTTGTGCGAACTAACAAGAATGCCCTGTTACTGTCAAAACTAACGTCTAGATTTAGTTATGGGTGGAAAATGTAATTACGGCAAATGTTAGGGGAGAAAAGTCATTCACTCAATCCTGTGGGAACCAAATAAAGATATGACCACCTGACTGAACACTTAGGGCATGTTTGGTTGGAGGTAATCCCCAATTATTGAGGTAATATCATCTTTATTGCTTGATTACCATGTTTGGTTGTCAAATAATATAAGATTCCCTTAATCTGAAACCAATGTATTTACTATTGGTAATATAGGAGGTAATCTAATTACCTCTATTTTCTTAAACATTTTAAGATTACTTGGTAATCTTATTTTTGTTACAATTTTATCGTTAACTATTAAAATATTTAGACAATAATGCCCTTACTTTAAAAACAGGTTACAAAAATACTAATAGACTATTTTATCCTTATATACAAAATTTTAGGTTATAAATGTCCTTGCGCTTTAAAAAAATTACCTAAGGATGGTGGCTAGATCTAGCCATCACCACCATCGACCACTGAACACCGGCACTGGAACGGCATACGACTTGCTACATCTGGCCGTTTTCGGCCAGATATCTAGTCGAAAACTACGAGATCATCGTAGATCTGATAAAAAACAACCATATTGATTTTGGCCATTTTCGACCAGATCTACAGCTTTTGGCCGTAGTTAACAACCAAATGGCCAAATTATGGTTGTCAACAGTCAGAACTCTAGCCGTTAATGACGGCTAGTTCTATCCATAGATCTAGTCGGAAATAGCCATATTGATGCACGACTGGCAAGTTCTGGCCGATCTTGCGCTGTTACGACCACTTCATCTGCTAGCGATGGTGGCAGGCAGCGGGCAGTGTTTGAGGTGGATCGGGGTGTTTTGTTAAGTTTTAAACTTTTTTTGTTACTGAGGTGTTTTAGCAATATCTCAAACATAAGGGGTTAAAAAACTATTCAAAAAGTAATAATAAAAACAATATTATATTAATATTTAAAAACAAAGGCAATTTAGTAAATTATATAACATACCTATCAATTTATTCCTCCCAACCAAACATATTAATATAGCATAACCACCAATTTATTCTAACCAACTAAATATATTTTTCTAAACATTCCCAATAATCTTT